TCCTTCAGAAGCTCTTAAATTCCGTCCTCCATGGTGGCACTACTTCGGAGGCATGGAGCTGAAGTGTTTGTACAGGAGGGTTATGATGGCTATCCGTGTAGAAACGACGAAACCCATCCAACTGCAGAGAGGTGTAAGACAGGATGACGTTATATCTCCGAAATTCTTCACCAGTGCATTGAAAAACTTTTTCAAGCTACTGGACTGGAAAGGATACGGTATTAACATCAAGGGCGAATACATCATTCACCTTCGATTTTATGACGACATTGTCCTTATGGCAGGATTACTGGAGGTCGTAAATAGTGCTTACGTCCTCCAGCTCAATGACGTCAATAGGGTCTCCCAACGGGCAGTTCTTGAGATGAACATGGACAAAACAAAGGTCATGTGTAACGTCCATGTCACATCTATAACTATAACGTCCATGTGACCTATGCCAAATGCTTTACTCTCGAAGTTGTCGACGAGTATGTTTACATAGGACAAATAATCCGACTAGGTAAGTCCAACTTTGACCGTGAGGTCAATCGACGGATTCAACTCTGTTGGGCCACGTTCGTGATATTACGACACATCTTCTCGTCAGGTATACCTCAAAACTTGAAAACGAGATTGTACAACCAGTGCGTAACTACTGCCAGTGATGGCTTATGGATCTGAGACGTCATCTTTCACTGCTAGCTGTATGAGAAAGCTCAAGGTTGCCCAGCGAGCTATGGAGAGGGTTATGCTCGGGGTTTCTCTGTGTGATAGACTTCAAAATGAGGTTATCCGCGATGGATGGGGCATTGGGCGAGCCATATCGCTCGAAGAACCGACAACCGATGGGGAAGCAAGGTTCTCAGAGTGCAGCTTCGTACCAGTAAATGAAATGTAGGGTGTCCATTAGATGGAGTGACGACCTGGTAAGACATACAGGAAGTCGATGGATGCAGGTGGCTCAGGATTGTGCTTTGGAGCATTCCTTGGGGGAGGCCTATGTTTAGCAGTGGACTTATAAAGGGCTGCAATGATGATGATGAATAATCATTCATCATTACAGCCTATAAATATGGTCTACATATTATATTTGTACGTGTACGCGTGTGTGTATTTGTGTGCAGTGTGAATTTTATCAATATTATGTTTTCCCCTAGACCACTGTAGTACTTACTTTTCCACTGATATTCCGGTTAGCTGGTAGAAAATGCCATAGGCATTATTAAATCTGCCGTTTATACCCTTAGTACTTACAAGAAAGTATTCTCGAGAAAATCTACCATTCGCCCCTAAGTAAGCGGATTCAGGCTGTTGTGAAACTGAACCCAATGCTGGTGACCTATTTGGAGTCAGCCGGAACCGTTGCGAGACGACTCAATTCATTTGGCGCCGCATATGATATTCTGCCGTATTATTTACACCAAATTTTCCACGACTGGACGCCCTGAATACTGAATAATGTCGCACCGTACCAGCCTGAAGAATAATAATTGGTCTTTATTGGAGGAGTTATAAGTTTCAGGTTGGGTATTAATAGGCCGAGAGTTGTGAGCTCTGCCAGGCTGGTGATGGACAAATATCAGTTTGTTCCAGCCGGACATAACACAAAACTGACGGAGCACATAGATGACCGGAAGCAGAGAATCGCTGCTAAGGGGAAAGCGGATTCGGTGATACACTGAGAGGTCGACACGGTTCAACCAGAATCGCTTCTTCTAGAGTGATGATAACAGGCTCTATAGATTTATATCCAATGATTATTGGAGCGACCAACACTGTTGCATTCTGGTGCGGCCTGTGGTCAGAGCTCGTAAACTACAGCCGCTTTTAGACAGAAGTTGTGACGAGTCAGTGTGCGATTGTTACGCACATGGACCCCATGTGTTAGAGACCCCAGAGTTAGCTGGAGCGGTCCGTAGAGGTGCTGCATCACTACTGGCCGAAAGGGTTCGTGGTGTGTCACGCTCGCACAACAGTTTCAAGAGGCTCACGACTCGAAGTCGCATCCAAGCCTCTTCACTACTAAAATCACTTATTTGGTCCTTAAACACCAGGATACCACAGACCTGAATAAATTTCGCCGCATTACGTGTCTACCCATTATACGTATAGGGCATTGACATTCATTTTGAGCGTGCGAATCACTCGCCACCTGGACTTAAATCAGGTGAGGTCACGCGCTCAGAATGGATGTCAGGGCAGTGGTCGTAAAACCAAGGCACCGCTGCGGTCATTAGCAAGGTGGTTAAGCGCAACCGTCGAAACTTCTCGGCCGCCTGGATAGATCATAGAAGGCATTCGACTTAATGCCTTATACAGAGGGTCCTTGAGCTGTACAAGGTTGACTGTACAGTAAGAGAGTTCCTCGACCAGTGTAGTCTAGGCGAGTGGATGACTGTTGCGAAGAGCCACATAACGATAACAAGGGGTATCTTCCAGGGCGATTGTTTGAGTCCATACTGGTTCTGCCCCTCTCTGAACCTTCTCAGTACGGCTCTGGGAAGGGATATCAGTTTCGAAAAGGAGACATAAAAGTGACACACCTTTTTTATATGGATAATCTCAAGTTATTCGCCGCCAGTCGCTCCCATAAGGCATTGCTAAACATCTTTTGTGATTTTAGTAGTTCTATAAGAATGGATCTGGGGACGGATAAGCGTGCGGTCCTCCATTGCGAAAGGGGTGGTGACGCTAATTCTGTGGGAATAGAAGTCAATGCCCTCACAAAAGATAAGTTGCTATGCCCTTCAACATAAGGACTCTTTCCAAGGTTGAAACATACCAATATCTGGGTAAGACACAGAACATTTCATGTATTGATGAGGCGTGTATTATGATATAGTCCGTTTCTGATGTGCTTTATGCACACCTGACAAAAGTGCTTAACAACGTTTTGTCGCGTGTAAATAAGATACACGCATACCACCGTTGGGTTATGTCTGTCATTACGTGGAATCAAACAGAACTTAACTCCTTAGATAGAAAACTGCGCACTGAGCCATCCCATAGGATGCATTATTCGCGATCGTCATTAGTGAGGCTGTACTTGTCGCGGGAAAATGATAGGCCTGGCTTTTTAAGCGCTCTCACCATGCATAATCGCAATGTGTGCAACCGAAATTGACGAATTCTGATGAGTCTATAAGCGAAATTCTATAAGGGCGTCATTATGTGAGATAAAGGACTTACTTCGCTATCCTTATCCAACGAGCAGTTGCAAGACCCGGCAGTACAGAGCGTCTCCGACCGGGAGTACTGACCGGGACCGGAGTACCGGTAAGTGGGACATTTTACAGTGTTACACATAATCCGAAGGTTATTATGTATATTTTGACTCTCTTGATTAGTGTAATGAATATCACAAGCTCACAGGAACCAACAAAAATGATGTCTAAAGAGTTATATTAAAAAATTTATCTCCTATTTTTTCAACCTTTATTTTTTTTTTCTAAATTTGTATGGGACCATACAAAGTATAACTAACCTATATAATAAAAAGACATCAAAATCGGGTCGAAATTGACGAAGATATACCTAGTAACAAGTCACATCATATCCTAACATATTCGTGCATACAAAAAAAACATACGATCAAATTAAGGACCTTTCTTTCTTTTTACTTTTTTGGAGTCGACTAAAAACTGTAGCCATAAGACGTAAGTGTGATTTCTTGAGAATTTGACCTTTAACTTCTTAAGAACTTCTTTTACGTGTCACGGCATCGAGTTTTGGTTAGACTGGCTAATTATGAACTCAACTATTATCTCTAGTTACAAACCGACCCAGAGTTTTCTTTGCTCTCGCTAAATTCTGTGAGTCTGGCGGTCATTCTGGCCACCAATTTTACGCACACTTTTGACATACCATTGAAATGGCTGTATCGACTATTTCTTTGAGTTGTTTCTTTTAACAATGGTCAGCTTTAATTATTATCTTCGGATATCTTCCATATCGGGTCTGGATTTGTGTCATTGTATAGTTTATGTATGCAAACCGCCGCCACGATACAGGGAAAAATCCTACTGTGGGGGAAAGTTTTGTAAAAAGCAGAAGAAGACGTACCTATAAAAAGGTGGGTATAATGCTAAAATTCGAAACTAAAGCTTGGCTTATTTAGGTGTTTACTATTAACATGCTGAATAAAACTATTGCGGACTAGCTGATACCAGCGACTTCGTCCGCGTTGCTTGATATATTGACAAAGTTTTCGTATGTGCGAAGTAAAAAACATCAAAAAGACAAATTTGCTTTGCAAACAATGTTATTCGTTGCTCCGTTTATAGCTAAAATATCTGGGTTTGGTAAAGTTATCTGGGTTAGTAAGGCGAGAGCAAGCGACGTACAGTTGACCGTGTTAAAAAACCTGTATAAAAATCGTTGTTTCTTAAAACTTTAGTAACTTTATATTAATTGAAGATATCGCAACATTTTTTTTTTTTAGATAAGGGCCAAGTGTCTAAGAAATAAAACATAGAAAAGCTAATTGAAATATATCCAGTAGTTTTTCAGTGATGCGCGTAGGATTTTCCCCACACTAGGATTTTCTCCTGTATCATGGAGGCAGTTTACAAACATAGATCGCACGAGGACAAACATCCAGACCCGGAACAATTATTTGTAGGCCATACAAATACTTGTTCCGTGCGGGATTCGAACCCGCGCCCCCCAGCGTCACGGAGCCATCAAAACCTCTATCAGATTATATAGATTTTTGCATGTAGTAGAACATAGAGTAGCGCACATTTTTAGTTTGAAATAGTTGTTCTGGTAAATAAGAACATTATACTTCAAAGTACAATGGCTACAAAGTAGCATGCAATGTCCCTCTATCTAGTTTATAAATACTGGGTGCAAATAATCTGAAAAAATCTATAAAAGGCCACATGTGTACTGCATACTTTTGATTAAAATCGTCAACACTAGCAAATCAAATTCGAATCCAACATGTTCCATCCAACCAGCATTCTTACACATATATGACTGAAGAATTGAAGATTGTTTTACTACAGGTAACTGCAATGGATCCAAACATTTATGCCTTGGTATTGGATACACTGAACCGGGCTACGAGTCAGGACACTGAAGTTTTGAAACCGGCTGAAAAGAAATTACAAGAATGGGAGACGGAACCTGGATTCTATTCAGTTCTTCTGGTAAATGTTTATTTTGTATTTTTATCAATTCATAATAAGAATATATATTTTTTTTGTTTTAACTTACATTAATTTTAAGGTAATTTCAGTAGGTTCATAGCTTATAAAATAATTGTTTTGTGGTATTATTTTATAAACTAAAAATCTGAAGAATTAGATATGAAAAGGCAAAATATAAGAACATGGCAGTGATAGATACGGATAGTATCAAAAAAAAATTGTCCTTTGTCATCCACGGACTAAACAAAGGAATACTATGGCATTGCAGAAATGCCGCCGAGATATCGTCTTAATTTAATAAAAAATTTGACAATAATTTTATGAGTGCTACTTCTCTTTTCAGAATGTTCTCTCAAATCACTCAATCAATGTAAATGTTCGCTGGTTGGCGGTAATGTGCTTCAAAAATGGAGTCGAGCGCTATTGGCGCAGGAACGCGCCCAATGCCATAACAGATGACGAGAAACAAAAGCTGAGGCAGGGACTACTCACTACAACCGTCTTGAGTGAACCAGTTGCCCAGATTGCAACCCAACAGGCTGTGCTGATTGCTAAGATAGCAAGGTCAGTTGAGTAATTGCTAAGTTTTTTGTACAAATCTATGATGTTATTTATTTAAAAGGGGGGGGGGGGGTATGGAAATGTCACCGATTATATAACCATTAAAGCTGTGAGTGGCGGTGTAAGATAACCCATTAAACCATATCATCCAGTGGGTGTCGTAAGAGGCAACACAGGTAAACTGTAACAGAAAATAGGCAGCAGCAACTTCCCAATGACTGCTTAAAATGATAAAAAAACTGTAATGCCAACACTCTAGCGAAGAGTCGCAACTATGGCAAAAACACCTCCCATGAGGCAATATATGATGGAGGCTTATGTTCAAATGTATATGTTTAAATACTTATATTATTATTATAATAAAACTTAAACATATGGGCTTCTCGCATAGGGGAGAAAATTTGTATCCGAGTTGGTAATTTCGCAATCACATTGCTATATTTTACCTTTGACGGTTTTGCTATTTTACACCTTATTTACTCGCAAGATGGTCCATTTTTAGCGTCCGACCGAAGCTTCGGCTCTTTTGCAAAAAAAAAAAACATCTTTCGGCGAAAGCTTCGGCTTCGGACAAAGTGGGCCGAAGTTTTGGCCGTAGCTGAAGGTTTCTAGCAAGCGCCGAAATTAAACGAACTTACGTATGAGCGACACCGCGATGGACGTGCTGACGCAATTTTTACCATCTCTACATCTACTTCTAGAGATGATTTAAATTGCCTTTCTAAATTATACAGTCAAAACAACATTTAATTTACGAGTTTAGTAATCATTTATATTATTAAAGTTCGCAATCTTCAAGGCGTTTACCATTATCGGCCATTACGACATTTGTAAAACGAAATGGACTGATGTATCCTTTTACATCTCTACCACGCATTTACAAAATGTATATTATTATAACAATTTTTTTATAATACTTTCAGGTTTGACTGTCCGACCAATTGGCCGAATCTGGTGCCAGAGTTGATTGGAGCGTTAAAAGCGCCACAGCCACTAGTTCAGCACAGGTCCTTGCTGATATTCCATCACGTGGTTAAAGCACTGGCTTCGAAAAGATTGATTGGCGATAGAAGAACTTTTCTGGTGTGTGATCGTTAAAAACATACATTTTAAGTCTTCTTCTTTTCCCCTTCTTCTAATATTTTTTTTTATAGATTAGGGGGCAAACGAGCTTGCGGCTCACCTGATGGTAAGTGACTACCGCCATCCATGAACAACCGCAACACCAGGGGAATTGCAGATGCGTTGCCGGCCTTTTAGAAAGGTGTAAGCTCTTTTCTTGAAGGTTCCTAAGTCGTATCGGTTCGGAAAATTCGCTGGTGGTAATTGATTCCACAAAGAAGTTGTGCGAGGGAGAAAACTTCTTCTAAATCGCACAGTGGTGGACCGCCAATCATCCAGATGGTACGGATGGTAACGCGAGTTTTGTCGCGACGTGCGATGGTGAAATTGAGCGGCTGGAATTAGTCCGAACAATTCCTCAGAGCATTCCCCGTGATAGATGCGATAAAATACGCAAAGAGATGCAACATCTCTACGCAGTGCCAGTGTATCGAGCTGATCGGAAAGAACTCGGTCGTCGACGATTCGAATCGCTCTGCGCTGGATGCGGTCAAGTGGAAGGAGCTGGCACTGGGGTGCCCCGGCCCAGAGATGAGAACAGTATTCCATGTGGGGCCGAACTTCCGCTTTGTAAAGTTGCAACCGATGTGCCGGCATGAAATACTGTCTCGCTCTGCTGAGCACGCCAAGCTTTTTAGAGGCCAATTTGGCCTTCCCTTCCAAGTGACCACGAAACTGCACGCTATTCGATATGTCGACGCCAAGGATTCCGATACTGGCTGAGGCAGCAAGGGGAGTGCCTTGAAACTGAGGAGATACGACAAAGGGGTTCTTTTTAGCGGTAAACGCGCAAACTTGTGTCTTCTGGGGATTGAACTGGACTAGATTTAGTCGGCCCCAATCCGAGACTTTGTTAAGCAAAGACTCGACTTCAGACACAAGTTTGTCCCGGTACTCGGCGACGTTTTCCCGAGAAATATTGGCACGGCCGGTATATAAGGCATCCCCAGTGCTGTCGTCTGCATAGCAATGAATGCTACCAGTTAGCAACATATCATTGAGATGCAGGAGAAACAGCGTTGGTGATAGCACGCAGCCTTGTGGAACACCAGCGTTGATAGGCTTGTAATCAGAGCATGCACCGTCTACTACGACCTTGATGCTCCGATCAGCAAGGAAACTGGTGATCCATTTGCATAATTTCTCGGGAAGCCCATAGGAAGGAAGCTTCGAAAGAAGCGCCTTGTGCCAGACCCGATCGAAGGCCTTCGCTATGTCCAAACTAACGGCCAATGCCTCCCCCTTGGACTCTACTGCCTCCGCCCATCTATGAGTTAAGTAAACTAGAAGATCACCCGCTGATCGATCGATCGATCGAGCTGGTGATCTTCAAGGTACCTCATGAGCTGGCAGTTTATAATGGATTCCATTATTTTGGAGAACAAGTAGGTGATAGCGATAGGCCTGTAGTTGGACGGGTCTGAGCGGTCGCCTTTTTTAGGGATCGGGTGGACCAAAGCTGTCTTCCATGAATTCGGGACTACGCCTTGGGAGTAGGAGTACCGGAAAAGACGCGTTAAAACCGGTGCCAATTCCGGAGCACACGTCTTCAGCACAATGGGAGGGACTCCATCGGGCCCACTCGACTTGCTGACGTCCAGGGAGAAGAGTGCTTTGCGAACCGAGCGCTGTGTAAATCGCACATCCGGCATGGAGCACTCACATCGCGGGATGGTCGGCGGTGTGTTCCCCCCGTCATCTAGAGTCGAGTTAGACGCAAAAAGAGAGCACAACAGATCGGCTTTCTCTTTTGCGGCATGGGCCAGTGAGTCGTCCTCTCTGTGCAGAGATGGAAGGGATGGCTGACAGAAGTTCCCTTGGACAGCCTTGGCGAGAGACCAGAATGCACGGGTTCCCGAAGGAAAGGAAGGCGAACTAGCTTCTCGCCAATTCTGCCGATGTGCTCAGACCTTGCCTTGGCAATGACGCTTTTGAAGGACCTGGAGGCGGAATTATACTTCTTTTTAAGTGCGCTGGTGTTTAAATCCCGAGACGTTGATGCATCAGCCCAGGCCCGGTAGCACTCCTGCTTATAGCGTGATGCTATTTTACAGGAGCGACCAAACCATGGCTGGGATCTGCCTCCGATGGGCACCACAGAGGATGGAATAAAAAATTCCATACCCTGAAGTACCACATCAGCAACAGAATCGGCAACAACGCTGGGATCTTCCGGCGAGAAGCAAACCCGCCCCCAAGGGTAGGATGCAAAAAAAGACCGCATCCCGTCCCAATCAGCTGACCTATAGTACCAAACACGGCGGCAAGCTGCAGATCGCAACTGCGATTGGAGCGTGAGTGGCACCGTGCTCCGGATCAGACAATGGTCCGAAGAGCCCAGAGGGGCATCGACGGAGACCTGATATCCGTCCGGATGAGAGGTCAGCAGAGGGTCCAACAGGGAAGGTACATGGTCTTCCACATCTGGGATCCGCGTAGGCGAAGTAACCAGTTGTGTTAGACCATATGCCAAAGCAAAGTCGTACACAGATCTACCCGCATGATCGGTTAAACGAGAACCAAGCCATTCAGCGTGGTGGGCGTTGAAATCACCGAGTATCACGATCTCTGCGGATGGGACCTGTTGTAGCACGGAGTCTGCAGCCATTTGGACGTGGTCGATGAGTCGGTCTGTGTCGGCATTACCGCTATGGGACCTATAGAGGCACCCGTAGACGCGGGGATGATCGTCGCTGTCTACGCGCAGCCATAGGATGGACAGGTCCGTACCTTCAAGGCTGCCGAGGCGTCGAAAACAGATGTCCTCTCCGACGTATACACAAACTCCAGCCCGGGGCACAAAGGAGTGTTCCAATTTGTATCCCGGGTAGGAGAGATATGAAGTATCAGCCGGAGAGGACACCTGAGTCTCGGTTAAAAAGAGCAAGGCCGGCTTCGCCGTCTCTAGATGGTAATGGACAGCGTTAAGGCTGGAATGAAGTCCCCTGATGTTGCAAAAATTCACGGATAGCGTGACAGGGGTCGCCTTGGTTGTATTGCTCCGCTTGCCCCGAGCAGCATTAGTCACGAGCGGAATTTTGCCCCCCCCCCCCCCCCCAGAATACGCGGGGCAGCCTGAGCACCCACGCTCAGGAGTGAAGTAGTTTGGCCGTGGATGCTCAGCGAGGGATTCTCCAGGGGTGCTGGTACCCTCCTGGGGTAGTCTTGTATTTAATTCCACTACCAAGTTTGTGGGGGGGGGGGGGGGGGATTGGGCCTCCGGCCACTTGCACTCACCAAGCGCAACGCAGAGGTAAACCTACTTCACGCTGGTATTCTGTGAGGTCGTGGTACCACCCCGGTTCGAGCTGGCCCATCCGTGCGACAGCAAAAGCTACCGCTTAGCTCTAGCACTGTAAGAATCCTTAAAGTACAAAAGTATTCAGACTCCATTTTGTAGGAAGGATTTGTCATTATATAATATAAATACTTAAGAGCTATATAATGCACCCTAAAGTGCGAGGAACACATTAAAACAATTGTAGGCGCTTCGTTGCACATTCCATTATAATTTTTTCCATTCCTGTAGACAAACAGTGAAAACATATTCATGCTAACAACTTCTTAGCTTAAAATTGCTGAAATGTTAAAATTGAAGCCATTTTCTACAGATCACTTTCAATCGTATCAATCATCACCATTATCATCATCATCATTACAGCCCTTCACAAGTTCACTGCTGAACATAGGCCTCCCCAAAGGAATGCCACAAAGCTCGATCCTGAGCCACCTGCATCCATCAACTTCCTGCATGTCTTAACAGGTCGTCACTGCATCTAGTGGGGGGTCGCCCTACACTTCGCCTACCGATACGAGGCTACCAAAATCATATCAATACAGAAATAAAAATTGCTCCTTTATAAGATACGTTTGTTTCTTTGAATTGAGATTTATTATATTTTATTTTCTTCATCTATCTTTCTTTCTTTAGACTCTGGACCAGTCTCAGATACAGTTGCGTTTACATACTAAAATAGCTTACATAATTATATAATTTCAGGAGTTAACAAATTCGGTATACGCTTTCATATTGCAACTGTGGCATGAGAACACGGAGTTGTTCCTACGACACATACAAGAGGGCGCTGCGACGGAACAAATCACCGAGCATTTGGAGAAAGCGTTACTCTGCTTGAGGATCCTGAGGAAACTCACTGTATTTGGTTTTAAGAACGCACATGACAGTCAGGACGCGATCGCTTTCCTCAACGTCGTCTTCGATAGAGCCAAGACTAGTTTAGAGTGTCGTGAGTATTCTTATGCCATTAAGTGCTAATGCCGTGTGGTTGTGGCGCAAGGGACTCCTTCACCCCTTTTTAGTTCTGTGGCTATCGTAATATAATGCTAGAAATCTGATCAAAGATGAGATGTAGGCGAAAGTTTATCGACCAAATTGGCAATATATTGATGAGTCAAATTAAGAGTACCCTCAACTAACGAGCGTTTATGCGTAGGTATATGGATGTGAAGGAGGCGAGGGAGGTGTGTCAGGTTCGTGCCAAATGGAAGTCCATAGTCTCTGCCTACCCCTCTGGGTGATAGGCGTGAGTGTTTATGTTATGTTATGTTAAATTTTTCTGTAGAAGTAATATGACTTCCGACAAACGGCGTTATAACCATTCTGTATACACCACTCCAAGCCAAGCGTGGTGTTTATAGCAAATCACCTCTTCAATGGGAGTAGAGAGGAGGAAAAAAGAAAAAATATTGTTATATTGTTGTAAACTTAATAACGTCTTAAATACTGCTAAAGTTTCAAATTATGACAGCAAGGGTTTGTACTGAGGGCGGCTAGGTAGACCTGTGGCTATGCGTTGGCTACTGTGATGCGGATCATGAATTTGATTTCTGCATGGAACAATTTTTTTTTGTATAATCATCATCATCATCATTATCATTACAGCCCTTCACAAGTCCACTGCTGAACATAGGCCTCCCCCAAGGAATGCCACAAAGCACGGTCCTGAGCCACCTGCATCCATCGACTTCCTGCATGTCTTACCAGGTCGTCACTCCATCTCGTGGGGGGACGCCCTACACTTCGTCCGCCGGTATGAGGCCGCTACTCGAAAACCTTTTTTCCCCATCGGTTGTCGGTTCTTCGAGCTATATGGCCGGCCCATTGCCACTTCAGCTTACTAATCCGTTGGGCTATGTCAGTCACTCTGGTTCTACTGCGGATATCCTCATTTTTAAGTTCATCATGCAGAGAAACTTCGAGCATAGCCCTCTCCATAGCTCGCTGAGCAACCTTGAGCTTTCTCATCCGGCCCGCAGTGAAGGACCATGTCTCAGTTCCATAGGTCATCACTGGCAAAACGCACTGGTTGTATAATGCAACACTGCTATTATTTTCTCCTGTAGAGGCGTTTAACAAACATATAATGCACACGGATAAACATCCTGACCCAGAAAAGATTGAAGATTTAAGACCAAACACACACTTGTTCTGTGTGTTTGTCCATAGGCAATTTATTTAGGTTAATAGACCGCCTTTCAGTCTTCGTGGAGTCTGTCTATCTATAGGGGAGGCATATGTTCAGCAGTGGACTTTTATTGGCCTCTCTCTCTCTCACTCAAAATATTAAAAAATCTTCGGTTGCCAGTCCGCCTGCCAAGCATACCAAATATCTTCCCAATGAGGCAATCTATAGGGGAAGCATGGCAGTCGGATTGGGGGTCTCAATGTCAGATGTGAGCGCCTTTGACGCTGTTCCTCGAACATACACACAGACAGTTTTTTTTTCAGGTAAACTGCTAAAAGGGCGCGGTATCTACCCACTAGAGCTATGCGAAAAGTTCATTATACATCTGACGAAAGTAGCATTGGGGGTTTTGTCTTTCCAACCGTTCTCCTACGTGCCCCTCATACGACCTTCACTTGAGTTCGCTCTCTTCTACTGTTTCACCGAGCAAGGCATGTCTCTCATATACGAAAGGTTCACAATACAGTGCTTGAACATTGTGAAGGCAATACTTCAATGCGTCGAGTACAAACTACCCAAAGAAATGGAACAGGTTAAGGAGCCGCGTAAGTACTTATATATTTTAGAATGCACGACCTCACTCGAAACAAGAAGTCAATTTAAGAAATGCTTAAAGTTGCTCTTTCTCTTTTTACTAACTGACAATAGAAAGAGACAAGTATATCTATAATTAATATTTAATTTATCTACGGTTATAAGTAAGGCCGTAAATAATTTATATCTTGTATCATTAATTGGCCAAGCTATTTTTTTTTATAGAATAAGGGTGATAAACCAGCACACAGTCCACCTGATGGTAAGTGGTTGCTGTGGCCCATAGACATCTACATCTATCTTCGTTTGCGAATCAAAATGCAGATGCGTTGTCAGGACTAAGATAGAATGCCTCTTTTCCAGTAAAACGGGTCTCCGGTTCTCTACACTCACCATATGAAACACAGCAGCATTAAGCTGCTAATTTACGCTGGTATTCTGTGAGAGCGTGGTACTTCCCCGGTCGAGCCGACCCATTCATGCTACAACTATACTATTAATATAGCTGCAGCATGACTCTACCACGTAAAAAAGCTATTGATCACCAAGCACCAATCTTGCCGTTTGTTAATATCTATCTTTGTTAGAGAAAACGAAGGTCTACAGTTATCAAAACCCTACTTCATTCACGTAGTAAAAGAAAACTTATAATTCTTTGTTTTATTGAGACAAGTTTGGTCAAAGTATGGTTCAGTAATTGCTATGAAATTTAAGCAAATAATCGCTGGAACTAACTTTATAATTGCCATGAAGAAGCTCATCTTAACTGATACTACACTTTGTTATTAGATAATACTTAAATAAAAAGCAGTGATAAACGAAATTTAATGTCTTACCACAAAAATAGGGCTTACATTTCATTTAATTCGTTTTTATCAATAATGGCTATTTTGAAAATAAGCCTGGACAGACATACAGAGAAATGTTTTTAAAATGGTTATTTATGTCTTATTTATGCATACAAATAACCCACAGTGAAATAGTAGGCAGTTATTTTGCTATTATCTAGCTTTAATTTATTTATATGTATCAATGTGACACACACGCACAAGCACAGGCTAACGCACGCGCACGCACATGCTCACGCACATGCACATGCAAACACACCACACACTCACGCACACTCGCACTTCACACTCGCGCTCACGCACACACACACGCACACACTCATACACACACACACACGCACGTGATTACGTGCACATTTACGCAATCACCAGTTGTGAATAATTTTAAATAATTTTTAAGATTAAATTAGATTAAAAAACCTGTATTTTAAATTTTGTGTGATTGTTAAATAATTCACTTCACATTAAAGCACCTTCTGTGGTACCGTAGTGACACTACAGGCACACCAAGTGAAGTCTGAAGTGCTAGACCAGAACACGGTGTGCCACATGTGCCGACACCTCGTCACTCACTACTTCCTGCTCAGTGCTGACGACCTGGCGCTCTGGGATGCTGAGCCAGAGAGCTTCGCTACCGATGAGGCCGGGGAGTCTTGGAAGTATAGTCTAAGGGTAGGTGGTTGGAAAATGCCCCACATTTGTTTTCGGGCATTGTTTATACAAGCTTATATGAGAGCACACAATCTAGTTGATAATAATCGGATGCTGTGACTCTTAGACACCTACATCTATCTTCAAATCAAAATCAAAATACAGAAGTGTTGTATAGCATTAACTTATGTATTAAGATTAAATGCCTCGTACCTTTACTCGTAATTTCTCGTCACTCACTACACAAAATAGCAGCCTTATACTGCTATTTTATGTTGGTAGTTTTTGCGAGTGTGGCTCTTTTCCGGTCGAGTTTGTAGCAATTTCTTTAAATAAAAATAACTAAAATGTTACCCTACAGGAGGATTTTCACCTGTATCGAGGAGGCGTTTTACATACATAAAATACACATGAGTGAATAACCAGACGCGGAACCGTTATTTGAAAAGAGCAGAGCGTCTAAGTGCCTCCGTACATGCGCCAACACTTGTAGTTCAGGATGCAGTGAGGCATAATTATGAACACAACATAAGCGGACCCGAAAGCAAACAAATTATATTCTGCACTTTGGTGAGATTCGAACTGAGGGTCCGCAGCATATTAGCTTCTTTGACCTTACCCATAACTTGGTCGCAGCTTGCTAAGATATTTTTGTTCTGTTAAATCCATACACTTTAATACCAAGAGATTTTCCGGTCATTTCTTTTTAGTCTTACACTGTATAAAACTTGTTTATCTTCTTTATTAGCTAGTAAAAACCCACTACCTGACATTGACCTCTCTCGTTGATGGGAGTCGTCACATTTCCCAAGCGGGTATAATAAAAAAAAAGAAAGGTTGCCCACATTAACACTAATAAGAACTTAAAACTAAAAATGTTATATTTTCTCACCAGCCGTGCACAGAAGCTGTGTTCATGGAGCTGTTCCATCTGTACCGGGACATCCTGGCCCCGGAACTAGTGCGGCTGCTTGCTTCCTTGCAACAGACTCAAATAGCGCCGGACGACTTGCCCGCCATATTGAAAAAGGACGCAGTATACAATGCAGTCGGCTTGGCAGCCTTCGACTTGTATGATGATGTGAGTGATGGTTTTTGTTAAAAAATAATAGAACATATCCCGGTACCCATATTTTTTTATCCATATTATATGATCCGAGATAGACTTCGAAATGAGGATATCCGCAGTAGAATCAGAGTAACCGACATAGCTGAAGCGGCAATGGGTCAGACATACAGCTCGAAGAACCGACAACAGATGAGGTATAAAGTTTCTCGAATGACAGTCGTACCTGTAAGGCAGTGTAAGGTGGACCCCAACTAAATGGATGACGACCTGATAAATCCCTTTTCCAGGAGGAAGTCGATTTCTGCAGGTGCCTGAGGACCATGCTTTTTGGCATTCCTTGGGGTGGCCTATATTTAGCAGTGGACTTGTAAACGGCTGTAATGATGATGATGATGATGATGGTGAATTTACCGGTTACATCAGACATTAATGATTGAAAGAGCATGTAGCTCGATTTTTTATTTAATTTATGATTAATCTTACCAAGTACATAAACACTTTATTTGGTCAATTGTTTATATTCTAGTAAATCTAGAAAATTGATATTAATAAAATCAGGTGATATACAATATTTTATTATATACAATATTAAAAACTATAATTAAAAAGATCTACTTAAGTCTTGTATTTTCCTCTTAGAGTATTCAACTAACAGGAGCCATGCGCATAAAGTTCCAAACAAAAAAGTCTGTCACTTCTAGCGGGAGGCGAGGTAACGCACACTAAGCAAATCGTAAACATTGAGCCACGTCGTTACGCACGCACACAGCATAATATGAACACACGATTAAGCAAAACGCACACAACCTTGAAAATCTTTCATAAATGTCTCATCGTTACAGTGCATATGGCATAAACAACTAGTGCGAGGGCCTTGTCGATATGGATATGTCGATGAAATTTTATGCAAGTTACATTAGCTAATTAAATAAAATAAAAATGAACAATACGACAAAAGTATGTTTAATGTTTAACATTACATTCAAAGTAAATTAAAAAAAAATACATAAGGTACAAAATAATAATATAAATCTATAATTAACATAACCAATATGACTTTTAGAACTTGCATGGTACTCCGTCAATTGTTTTATTTTCATTTCATCTATCACTAATGAACAATACAATTTCTTGTCAGGATTACTAGATTCCCACTAATAAAAATACTAAAGCATCAGTGGCTTCCTCTGAATTGTCAGAAATGAAGTTAAACCCATAATTAACATAACCAAAATGTCTTTTTGAACTTGCATGGTACTCCGTCAATTGTTTTATTTTCATTTCATCTATCACTAATGTACAATACAATTTCTTGTCAGGATTACTAGATTCCCACTAATAAAAATACTAAAGCATCAGTGGCTTCCTCTGAATTGTCAGAAATGAAGTTAAATCCATAATTAACATAACCAAAATGTCTTTTTGAACTTGCATGGTACTCCGTCAATTGTTTTATTTTCATTTCATCTATCACTAATGTACAATACAATTTCTTGTCAGGATTACTAGATTCCCACTAATAAAAATACTAAAGCATCAGTGGCTTCCTCTGAATTGTCAGAAATGAAGTTAAATCCATAATTAACATAACCAAAATGTCTTTTTGAACTTGCATGGTACTCCGTCAATTGTTTTATTTTCATTTCATCTATCACTAATGTACAATACAATTTCTTGTCAGGATTACTAGATTCCCACTAATAAAAATACTAAAGCATCAGTGGCTTCCTCTGAATTGTCAGAAATGAAGTTAAATCCATAATTAACATAACCAAAATGTCTTTTTGAACTTGCATGGTACTCCATCAATTGTTTTATTTTCATTTCATCTATCACTAATGTACAATACAATTTTTTGTGAGTGTTGCTCTATGCTCTAAGTTTTAAAGCAGCTAACGCTTCCTTTGTGAAGTCAGGTCGGCCATCAATTGTACTATACCACTTTCTTATAGTACGTGGTGAGGGCTGACACGTTTCAAATATTTTTCGCACATATCGATAAGCTTTCGGTGAATGGTAATGTAAAGTTAAAGCAAAACATCTGAGTTCTGGAGAATACTTAGTCCTAGGTAGATGCCCCGTTTTAGTTTTAAGCAGTTGTCTGGAGTTCATTTTGTTCAACCCAATATTTTGTAAACAAATTTACTTTCTTTACTTATCAAAGATTTTCCGGATAATTAATTTAATAATTCTTGCAAACCAACAACTTTTTTTTAAATAGCGTTTTTATGATTGGAGCCTTTTAATAGGATTTATTTTTTGTTGTAAGTGTTGCTTCAATTTTCGTTTTCGTGGTGTATCTTGAAATTTATGTGTGAAAACTTGAGGAAAGTGTCACAGGATCGTGTTCCGAAGAAGATGCAACCAGTTTTAAGTCACTCACTATAGTCTTAGGTAGTTTTGATGTCACAAGCGATTGCTCATCAACTTTTCGTTTTTTAATACTTTGTTCTTCAAGATTAACAAACGTGCATGGTTTATTCTAAAATGTAATAAAGACTTATAAATAAAAAAATTTGCAAATGGAGTTACAAAAAGGGTTTAAAAACTCAAACAAGGAACATTCAAGTACTTTCTACGGTTAAACTTTCTCATAGATAAGATAAGATTTACAATATTTCTTATGATTGGAAACAAATTAAATTATACTTCGAATATTCCAGATGTTACTTACTATTTATCTTGAATATTTGAAGTATAATTCATTAACTTTTATTTGTATAAAAATTACTATTTATGTCTGTAAATCTGAGGTATAAACATGATGAAATTGAAAACATGTGATATATCGCAATGGGGGGGAGGGGGGTTCAATATCTATTATTTATTAATTTTGCTATTTTATTTGTTTGATTGGATTACGAAAACCGATTGGTCAAAATGCTCGGAACAAATAGTGCTTGTTCGCTTAGGTACCCAGGTTATATGATTGCCACATGCTTTTATCCAAACTTGGTGCCTGTAAGGATCTTTTGGAAAACTGTAAAACCAAAGATCTTTTTTAAACATTGTACAAAAAAGAATTTTAAATAACACCGTGGTATTATATATCAAGGTATTACTTATAGTCAAATAAAAACATCGACACTAAAGATTACAGTGAACATCACTATTATTGTCTTGATGATACCATTTTATATACCCGAAATTCCCCTTCTTTTCGTTTCATAACGTAACATAACGAAATGAAAATATCTATTTGAAATGTTTTATATACAAAAAACAATTTTAATTGATGTTTTGATTTCGTTAATAACAATTAAAGATAATTAAAGATTATTAATGTTGTTTGAAATAATATAGTTTTGCAAATAGATTAGAATAATATTGATGAATTTAAGACTATTCAATAACACGATTTTGTCTTGTGTAATTAGAACAAAGAAAAACGACATTTGTCTACAATTAAGCAAAATTTAATTATGTCCTAGTGGCGCAAAAGTCCTTACTATAGTATTAATACTTTAAGTTGGCAACACTACCTGCTCAGCTATATTAATCAGAATTTTCGTGATTTAATGCTTATATTTATTATTGAAATCAAAATAAATAGTTACAAGTGAAAGGTCTTTTTGTTAATTTGAGGTCTGTGATCTTTTTTACAAGAAAACACACTGCAATTCGCATTTTTCTGGAGGTTGACTCACGCTTACGACTACTTAGTAACTGACGCCGTACGCGGCGCAACTAGTTTTATATAACGGGAATGATCCGCGCTCTAGTAGTTTTGACAGCGGGGAACGCTCTCCAATGTCGTCTCCTGTTAGTTTAATACTCTAAGATTTTCCTTCACCGCCAATCAATTAAATTAGATCAAACTAGGTTTGTTCAAATACTGTGAATCGTAAGACGAGCATTTTCTCCTGAACTCCAGCTCACATAGTGAAGCAGATTAATAGTAAATTTGTTTGCAGGTGGATTTTGACGAATGGTTCACAAATGTCCTGAGTCAGGAGCTTAAAATTAAAGACAACAATTATAGGATAATCAGGAGGCGAGTCTGTCAATTGATTGGTGAGTAAATATTTTCTGTTAGGTATTACCCTTCTCCAATCTTTGTTTTCAGAGACGACATAACACCTACTATCTTAATTGTTATTCAATGAGAATTGAGTGAGCTGGTCTCCCTTTTTTCATAATAAATTAAATTATTTTACTGAAGTCAACAATTAAGGTAAAGTACGTCAACACTAACAGGAATTGATGACATTTATGTTTGGAGATTCTGTATTAAATCATAATTCATATCTGGTTCAGATATATTAGAACTAGTTTCGTCACAGACAGTTCGAATCATAATTTTTTCATTCACATTTATTGTGATCACAAAATTTTGTCGAACAACTAAAACGACAAGAATTTATATTAACAAACTAGCTGTTCCCCGCGACTTCGCCCGCGTTCAATTTAGGGTTTTAATTTTTTTGCATGGAATGCTAATTCTTCTTCTAAAATAAAAGTAGCCTAAGTTACTTCTTATAACATCAGCTATCTGCCAATGAAAGTCCCGTCAAAATAGGTCTAGCCATTTCGGAGATTAGCCGGAACAAACAGACAGACAGATAGACAGACATTTAAAAAAAATTATGTTTTGGTTATATGTACCGTATACATTTTCATATGTATTTAGTAAAAAGCTGTTATTTTGATATTACAAACAGACACTTCAATTTTATTTATTTGTAGAGATATAAGCTTATTTGAAACAAACTTTATGTTGCATAATGAATTCGCCGAAGATACCCAACTAGAAAACTGTAATTTGTTCAAAAAATATGATTAATATATTAATAGTGTTAATTAAATACTAAATTCTTATATACAATAAATGTTTGTTAACGATACTGTTGTCTAAACACCAATACATTGCAGGCCAATGGAGTGGCGTGCGCGCATCAAAGTCGCTGCGGCCGGCGATGTACGGCGCGCTGATCGAGCCGCTGACGCGCGCGGACGAGGACGCCGCGGTGAAGCTGGCCGCGGCCGAGGCGCTGCGCAGTACGATCGATGACTTCAACTTCGACGTGGACCAGTTCGCGCCGTTCGCACCGCACGCACTCGCCGCGCTTTATGATCTCCTGGTACTTATTTTTCGACGACGTTAGTCCTCGTTTCGAAATTCCATAAAATCTAAAAAAATATCTATTAAACACGGGGCTGCTTAATTTAATCATCGTAAACTGCCACAGAACTCTGAATTCCGTCTACCATGCATCATCTCGACGATTTGAAGTTCACTACTCTACGGCGAGGACTTTTTATGTCATGCAAAACCGTATTGTAGAATTTACCTGTCGTAAGCGATTTTTACGATGATACGATTTAGTGACTTTCAAGAATAAAGGAGCCGTCTCTTTGTTAAAAGGCCGCTAAAGCACCAGATTTCTCTGGTGAGCCGTATGCTTGTTTGCTTCCGCCGCTTTATAAAACCTAAGGTCTTTTTGGCATTTTCGTAGTCCTTTCTTACAATACCTAAGGAATGAAATGTGGTAACGAATTAACTTACACCGCAACTACATAGTAGAGATCCTTAGCTGCTTTTTATTTATAAAACTGAAGTGAGAAACGACCTTACTCTCCACTTCATGGTAAGTGGCTACTGCAGTCGATGTACACCTGCAGTCAACTTCAAATGAAGAAGATTACAAGTGTGTTGTTTATCTGTGAGGATTGAATAGAATGCATCAGAGCCTGTAAATATACTTGCTCGTTTTACCCTTCACATCTGATCACAGCAGTGCAAGCACTATTATTTGACGGCAGAAGTAGGCAGATGGGTTAAATGAAATAATTTGCAGGTTGAGTCGGAGGAGTGCGACACGAAGATGCACGTGCTGCACGTGGTGTCGTACGTGACGGAGCGGTGCGGCGCGCGCGTGGCGCGGGGTGGTGGCGCGGGCCCGCTGTTCGCGTACCTGCCGCAGCTGTGGCACCACGCCGCTCACCACCACATGCTGCGCGCCGCCGCGCTCGCCGCAGTCGTGCACCTCGTCAAGGTAACGTGACGTCACGCGCACTGCCGCACCTGCCGCAGCTGTGGCACCACGCCGCTCACCACCACATGCTGCGCGCCGCCGCGCTCGCCGCAGTCGTGCACCTCGTCAAGGTAACGTGACGTCACGCGCACTGCCGCACCTGCCGCAGCTGTGGCACCACGCCGCGCACCACCACATGCTGCGCGCCGCCGCGCTCGCCGCAGTCGTGCACCTCGTCAAGGTAACGTGACGTCACGCGCACTGCCGCACCTGCCGCAGCTGTGGCACCACGCCGCGCACCACCACATGCTGCGCGCCGCCGCGCTCGCCGCAGTCGTGCACCTCGTCAAGGTAACGTGACGTCACGCGCACTGCCGCACCTGCCGCAGCTGTGGCACCACGCCGCGCACCACCACATGCTGCGCGCCGCCGCGCTCGCCGCAGTCGTGCACCTCGTCAAGGTAACGTGACGTCACGCGCACTGCCGCACCTGCCGCAGCTGTGGCACCACGCCGCGCACCACCACATGCTGCGCGCCGCCGCGCTCGCCGCAGTCGTGCACCTCGTCAAGGTAACGTGACGTCACGCGTTAATTAAAAAGAAACAAAAGCATGTTGTTCGCAACTCTTTGTACGCGGTTCAACCTCAAAGTGTTCATCCATATATGAGCAGTTTGACCTACTTAGGCCCCATATCTGAAAAAGTAGCTAATACTCTTCGATAAAACGGCGTTTATGTGGCATTCAAAACAAACAATTCTCTTAGAAATATCTGTAATAATAAAGATAAGTTGGATATTCGTCAAAAGTCAGGTGTTTACAAACTTGTTTGTGACGAATGCCACGCCGTTTACGTGGGTCAGACTGGTCGCAATTTCGAGACACGTTATAAAGAGCATTTAGCCGCGTACAGGAATTGCAATCCCGATAAATACCATTTTGCCAAACATCTTTTGGACACTGGACACAACCTAGCCAACGACCACCCCTTTAAAGTCTTACATACGTGTAATAAAGGGCTGCGGCTGTGTGTGCTGGAACAGAGATATTAAAAAGTAATAATAGTACCGTTGCATTGCTGAATGAACAAACAAATGTTACTAACTTACCTCTTTTAAATATCTTCAATCCTGCTCTCTAATAATAGAGAGCCTCGCAATATGGTCGTTTGTCACCCTCACGGTGATTGGCGATTGGTTGCGTGGTTGGAGGGTGGGCGTTGCGCGGTGGTTTGTTTTTAATTTTACAAACGGCTGCGTAAGTCCGGCGGTGATTGGTCGCATGTTTTATCGCATGACGCAGTCGCTCGCTCCTTAAGTAGAGAGCGGTTGCGTCATCGGTTTGTATAAAAGGCACTTGTTTTGGCTCGCCGCTCACTTAGCGGTTAGCCACCGTAGAGTCTATATCACCTGAGGATGCCTCGTGTAGAGGCGAAACACGTGTCGTATTATCGTCAGTGGTGTGTCATGCCTAGTGTAGTGGTGTTGGGAGTAGCGGTTCTGGGATTAGTGGTGACGGGGATAGTGCACGCAATTGAGGGAGGGCGGGATATGCTCTTCATACTAGGTAAGACACATCATTTTATTTTATAACGCGGATATTTGCGAAGTAAATTTTTCTAAAAGCTTTTATATAATGGATTTCCGCAAAGTAACGCCTGATTCTATTAATTAAAATTTCTAATTATTCAGACGTCTGAAAGTACGTGAAAACTGAAATACAAAATTACATTGCATTCATATAGGTCAAGCTACTACAAAGTATGTAAACAGTCAACCTTAAAAACTTCTGTAAAACGCAAGAATTCAATCTTGCTTATGTTTATTAAAGGAGATAATATAAAATATTTATTAATATACTTTGAATTTTTAGGCACTGGGCGAATGCGCACCAAATATGCGGCCGTGGATTCTAAATGTGGTGAACGAATCAACTAGGCTCAGCGAACCGGCGCACGTGTATCTTCTAGAAGACGCCCTGGAGCTGTGGCTTGCTATCTTAGAAACATCGCAATCAGCGGACCCGGCGACATTGCAATTGGCTGACAATCTATACCCTATTTTAGGTAAGTCGATATTGTTATACTAGCGATCAGCCCCTGCTTCGTACGGGTGATTTTTCTAGATCTTAACAACACTACACTCTCTACTACACTACTCGAAACAGGTGATGCGCAGCAGCATCTTCCTGAGAACAACTCTAAATAATTAAAAACTGCGGCTGTCAATCGGCCTGCCTAGCAAGGCAACGATACGATACTAAAACCCTCTTATGAGGCAATCTATGGGGGAGGCCTATGTTCAACAGTAGACTTTTATAGGCTGTGATAGGCGGATAACAAGTGCTACTTCGGTCTACTAAGATACTTACGTTTGAAACTTTTTTCAAGAGCATAAAACTTCTCTTGTATAAAACCTTACTAAGACCTATACTCACCTACGGTTCCGAATGTTGGCGCTGAACAAAAAATACGAAAATTCCTTGTTGGTATTTGAGCGGAAAATACTAAGACGCATTTTCTGAGCTGTAATGGAAAATGAGAGATGGCGAACGCGTTATAACCACGAGCTATACCAAATGTACGATGAGCCAAACGTAATTAAGACCATAAAAATCGGGCGCCTGCGTTGGGCAGGGCACGTGTTGCGAATGGACGAGGCCAGAGTACCCAAACGCCTTTTAGAAGGCCGACCGGAGGGCCGCAGAAGTCGAGGCAGGCCTAAGCTCAGATGGTTGGACGGCGTCGAACAAGATATCGAACAAGGAAAGCCTCTAAGAGATCGGACTGGAGAGCTTTGCTGGACCAGGCTAAGGACCACCCGCGGCTGTAATGCCTCAGATGATGATGATGATAGACGGATTGATGGATATATCGATGCAGGTTTAAAATATCGATACGATATACATATCAATTTTTTTTTCTCTTGCTCATCAATAGCTGCTAGGTATGGGAACCATTAATTTAGTCGTAAAGTAGTCGTAGAATCTTCTAGGTCAGAATAAAATAAAATACACACAAATATTTGTGGGAAAATATTCTATTAACAATTTCTGTATTTGTTTAATGGTACCTAAATTAGTCAGTACAAAGATAAATATTTTGATTTATGTTTATTTTTGTTCTCGTATCGGTATTTTTGCAACATGTATGTCTCGTTCTTACTGTCGGATTTCGCTGTCATGGACGTTGGACATCGATCATTAGATATTTATCTAACTTATATCTACCTTGTTACGGTACACTGACTGATCACATAGGTTAGGTGAAATTGTTAGACGCCCATTACAAGCCTACGCAAGCGTCAATCAGTTCTATCAATCATGATTGACGTTTGAATGATAGAATAATTTCGACATTACACGCTCATGCTGACTGATGTCAGTCAAACCCAAATTTTCGGAGGGAAAGGACCTACCTATAAACTAAGTTCATTTTCGATTCACCATTTAAATGTAATTTAATATCTTGAAAAGAAAAGAAAAAGAATAGGTAAATTTCTAATATTTAATAAACCATGCGTGTCACAAGCATGGAATATGTATTAAGATAGACGACAACAATTATTTTATTTTAATACTAGCTGATCCTCGCGACTTCGCCCGCGTGTTATTTGGGATTTTATTTTTTTTGCGCGGAACCCTAATTCTTTTTCTAAAATAAAATTAGCCTAAGTTACTCTTCATGACATCAGCTGTCTGACAGTGAAAGTCCCGTAAAAATCGGTCCAGCCGTTTCAGAGATTAGCCGGAACAAACATACAGACAGACCGACAGACAGACAAAAATTTTAAATATTGTGTTTTTGTTATAAATATCGTATATACTTTCATATGCATTTAGTAAAAAGCCATAATTTTGACATTACAAACAGACACTTCAGTTTTATTTATTTGTATAGATTTTACTTCTTACCTTACTGTGGTTTAGCTTTAAGCAGTTCCATTTTTCTTTTAACACTAAACAATTAATTAAAACAAAATTATAATAAAAATTATGTATTATTATAGTACATCAATTTCTTATAATTTAATCATCCAAGTTTTTGAATCTTCATCATCATTTCAGCCCGTCACAAGTCCACTACAGAACATCATCCTCCATAGACTGCCGCAAAGCATGGTCCTGAACCACTTTCCTTGTTGTGATTTTTTCATTTATGTTCTTAAGTTATAGTAAAATTAGTATTACTAAGTTGTAGTTAATTACATTTATTGTTTGTTTTTTTCTTTCTCAAAAATAATTAAATATGGTATGGTGTTCTTAACAAATACCAAATGTCTGAAAAGCAAGTACGTATCATTTGCTAAACTTTTAAATCAAAAACCAATTTTAAAATATAGACGAATTGATCATAACTTCTTTACTTACTTACTTTAATTATTTACTTATCTTCACGCACAATCCCTGACGGGGTAGCCAGAGAGAACAGATCGCCAAGTTTCACGATCCTTACATACCTCTTTCGCTTCTTTCAGATTCATTATCTTCTTCATACATGCACGTCTAGGTATCCGAGTACTCTTGACCCTCCCCTCTTCGAGCAATTTGCTCACATGGTCTTCGAAAGTTAGTCTCGGTCTACCTCGACACCTTTTAATATTAACTTTCGCGCTATATATTTTCTTCACCATTCGGTCTTCACTCATTCGCTCAACGTGCCCAAACCATCGAAGCACGCCCTTATCAATTTTTGTGATAAGGTCATCTTTCAAACCTGCCATATTGCGAATCTCTTCGTTTCGCTTTCGGTCGGCCATGGTAACGCCGCACATTTTACGAAAAGATCGCATCTCCACTGCATTCAACTTGCTTTTATGCTTCTTCTGGCATAGGTTTCGCTGCCATATAACAAAGTCGGTACCAACACTGCGTTATGTATTGCAAGGCGTGCACTCTTCACTACGCCTTGCCTTTTGACTAACGCACAGGGCACCATTGACTTTGTTCCCGGCAGCGACACGCCTGTCCACATCTAAATCACATCTTCCATCCCGGCTAAAAGCACTCCCCAAGTATATAATTTCATTTACCTGTTCTAGACATTCCTGATTTACCCATATTTTACACTTTGTTCTCTCTTCGTCCCTTTCAAATACCAGAACCTTAGTTTTATTAGCATTCAAACGGAGACCTTTAATTTTACATTCCTCTTTCATACACGTGACTAATGCATGCAGTGCTTATTGCACCATCAGCATACAACAGACAATTTACTTTAATGTCACCCAATTTCACACCCAAACAGCTATCTTTCAGCTTCTGTAAACAGCTGTCGAGATACATATGAATAGCCAGGAAGACATGACACAACCCTGTTTTACGCCCGTTTGGACGCTGAACATGGGTGACAGGTCATGCCCTACCTGCACACAGGGTTTACAGTCATAGTAAAGTGACTGCACAGCCCTTAGCAATCGACTATCCACACCATACCGCGGCAACAGTTCCCACATTTTCTTCCTTACAACTTATCAAATGCTTTCTCAAGATCCACAAAAGCACAGAAAATCTTCAGGTTAGCAGCCAGAAGCTTTTCCGTGATCATGCGGAGAGAAAACATTTGATCCGTGCATCCTCTTCCAGGTCTAAATCCGCATTGTGCCTCCCATTGAAATCTTTCCGATTTCTCTTGCATCCTACATGTCAAAACCTTCGAGTAAACTTTACTTGCTAAACTGGTCAAGCTGATCGCGCGATAGCACCCGCAGTCAAAATGTGAACCTTTACCTTTATATAAAGGCACAATGACTGCGGATCGCCAATCATCCGGAACATCCCTCGTCCGCCAGCACAAATTGCACAGCAGATGAAAGCTGTCCCAGACGCGAGGCCCACCATACTTGACCATTTCAGCAGTAACCACATTTCAAACTTCGAATCGCACGTTCAATCTCTTTCATACTGATGACCTCAGTGTCATCGAGGTCCGGGTCTGGCGTACCAGTCACGGCGTCATCCCCGGATCCCTCACTAAGATCATCACACGCATACATTTCTCTATAAAATTCGCTCCATCGCTGCATGACGTCCGATTTTTCTGAGAGGACGTCATTAGTTCTCGAAAGCACTTTGTTCATTCTTAAGGCCGTCGCACCACTTCGGGTCCTTCCAACCTCTTTCCAGAAGAGTTTGGAGTTCTCCTTAAAGTTGTGCGACAACCTTTCGTCCGTTTCCATTCTACACCTTTCACGCACTTCCTCAATCAATGCTTTCGTGTGAACTTTCTGCAGCTTATATCTTTCTTTCATCTTCTCTCTCATATCCTTATCATTACTAGAGGCCAAGTAGTCTAACCATGCTTTCTTCTTCTTCTTTACAGCTTCTTTCACTTCATCATTCCACCATGCATCTCTTCTTTTACTACTACCTTTTTTTTATCGTTCCACACACTTCTTCCGCTGCACATACCATTCCATCCCTAAGGTTCTGCCATGTTCTTTCCACACATTCTTTTCTGCCAACGATGGTGTCAAGCTTCCTTCCCTCGCATGATATTTGTCCCTAGTATCCGCTTCCTGAAGCTTCCAGCTTCGGATGCGACAGAACTATATATAACTTCCTTAACTATAAAATAAGGTATTTGTTCCAGTTTATGACAGCCCTGATTTATATTACGTGGCTGAAATTAGGTACTTCTTATTATGTACGTCAAACCAAATGTAACCAAATACAAAAGCTTTTACAAAAATTTACTTCGCAAATATCCGCGTTATAAAATAAAATGATGTGTCTTACCTAGTACGAAGAGCACCTCCCGCCCTCCCTCAATTGCGTGCACTATCCCCGTCACCACTAATCCCAGCACCGCTACTCCCAACACCACTACACTAGGCAAGACACACCACTGACGATAATACGACACGTGTTTCGCCTCTATAGAGTCTATATCACCTGAGGATGCCTCGTGTAGTGGTGTTGAGAGTAGCGGTGCTGGGATTAGTGGTGACGGGGATAGTGCACGCAATTGAGGGAGGGCGGGAGGTGCTCTTCGTACTAGGTAAGACACATCATTTTATTTTATAACGCGGATATTTGCGAAGTAAATTTTTGTAAAAGCTTTTATATAATGGATTTCCGCAAAGTAAGTAACGCCTAATTCTATTAATTGTAACCAAATACGTCAAACAGCCGGGCAGCTGACATTAAGCACTCCATACATTTCGTATATCTAATTACAGCTCATTAATTTCCACTAAAATAAAATAAAAAACTTATAGGTTTAAACAAAAATAGCTGCATTACTGTCTATAGTCACATTCATACAAATCAAAAAGCCTAAAGATTAACTAATGTAAAATATGCTTAATTGTATCGGGACCTTAACTTGTCAAAAAATTAGGAAAATGAGCGCTTTTCGTTGCGTACGTGTTTTGATTTTTAAATTAACACTGTTAGGTTTAAAACTGTGAGGTAATATTTGAAATATACTTTCCCATGGTAACGAAGAATTTATTAGCCGACAATATTTGTAGTTGAGACTACTAGAAATCTTATTTACGAAGTAAAAAGGCGGAAAGGCTGGAATTAGAGGCGTGACTGGTATTAGGGGCATCCACCCTACTCGGGGTTTTTCGTGTCCCACAACTCGGGGAGAGCCTCAAAATTTAAAATAAAATCGTTTTCTGACTGAAGCACGTTTGACGGGAGTAGCGACGGGCTTCACGAGCGCGTGGAAGCCGCCTCTTCAATATATTCTGCGTCCGCCACCATCGCTGTCTAAGCATTGAATGACGTTGATTGACGTAAAAATCAAAATATCCAGATATTTGTCAATCAATTTCATGCAACCGTCAATCACCGCATTACACGGTAGGTTATTCGTCAATCACAACCGTGATTGTTGTAAAACTGACAGCAAAACCTACCGTGTAATGGGCATCTTATATTTCAGAAATAATTATTAGAAAGGTACTCATAACATAGCCACGTAGCTTAGGTAAGGAAGGTAATAAAAAATCGACTACTGAAATAAAACCTAATACTAAATCTAAAATGCATATATAAAGTCGTTCTAATATTCCACGTAGTTATCCAACTATATCAACGTGACAAAGTCATGATGATTTTTCATTGTGAATTTTTGGTAACCGGAACGACGATAACAGTAATTTGAAAGTAACACTTTTCTCTAAGTTTAGTCACCTCTTACGAGACCCAGGGGATGATATGGATATTCATTCACCGCCACTACATGGTAATTGATAACTTCTCAAAACATTTTATTTATGGACAACGTCTTGCAATCGTTGTTTCTCTAGCGCTCACTTGGCCTTCATACAAATAATGCGATATTTTAATTGTTTATATTTTTTTATTTTTGGATAAGAACATAGTAATGACTAAGTTATATTAACTTTAATTAAAAAAAAATTGTCTTTGGCCTGACCTACTATATATACTCTTTGGCTTGACCATAGGTTTGACCATAGGTATTTTTCATTACAAAAAAACGGTTTGACTAAGTTAGAGGTGGTTATTGGTTAATTTCGACACCGGAGTGTTTAATATAATTAAATTTTTCATTTCAGAACAATCAACAGAGCACCTTAGGATAGTTGTGTATATAATGCAAGCATACACGCTTCTATGTCCTGAAGAGTATTTCTTAGGAGCCGGAGCAAAGTGCATGGCCTTACTAGATGACATGCTCAGTGACATGAGGACAGAAGGCATTATAACAGTTCTCAAGATGGCAGAGATATGCATTAGTGTGACGTTTCCAGAGAGGAATGCTTTCTTAGGCGTTAAGGTTATTTGGCCGATACTAATTAGGGTAATCAGGTAGGTTTAACTATTTTGCCTATTATTGTTGGTAAGATACATTTTTGTTTGTTTTTACTAACCATTCTTTCTTTCTTTATTTTATTTTATTATCTTACAAATTCAATTCCTTTTTGGAATTAGAATATAAATAGAATATTTTAAACGTGGTAGAGCCACGCTGCAGCTATATTATGGTTGTAGCACGAATGGGTTGGCTCGACCGGGGAAGGACCACACTCTCACAGAATACCAGCGTAAAATAGCAGCTTGACGCTGCTGTGTTTCGTATGGTGAGTGTAGAGATCCGGAGACCCTTTTTACTGGAAACGAGGCATTCCATCTTAGTCCTCACGGGTGACAACGCATCTGCATTTTGATTCTTAATCAAAGATAGATGTAAATGTCTATGGGCCACAGCACCACTTACCATCAGGCGGACTGTGTGCTCGTTAGTCAACCTTATCCTATAAAAAATAGCCAGAGAAGCTTATTACTACATTGCAATTTTATTCATAATAAGATACATAGATAAGTTAGTAAGTAAGAGAATCCACTACTCAATTTCGAGGGTGTCGCAAAGGGCGACGGAGGGATCATAAACAGAAGATGGGCAGCATTCCTGATAACAACACAAAATAAAATTAAAAATCTGCAGTTATAGCGTCCTACCAAGCGTAGCAACTACGACCACCAAAATACGGTTGAGCCACGCTGCAGCTATACTATGGTTGTAGCGAGAATAGATCGTCTCGACCAGGGAAGGACACGCTCTCACAGAATACCAGCGTAAAACGGCAGCTTATTGCATCTTAGTCTTCACGGCTGACAACTCATCTATACATATTTTGATTCTTAATCGAGGATAGATGTAGATGTCTCTGAGCCACAGCATCCGCTTACCATTAAGTGGTGGTATTTGTCATCCTTATTTTATAAAAATATGGTAAATATCTCCGCTATGAAGCAATTTATGGAGGGAGGCCTATGTCCAGCTGTGGGACTTTTGTTAGTCTATACGTGGCACGAATGGGTCGGCTCGACCGGGGAAGGACCACGCTCTCACAGAATACCAGCGTCAAATAGCAGCTTAACGCTGCTGTGTTTCGTATGGTGAGTGTAGAGAACCGGAGACCCTTTTTACTGGAAACGAGGCATTTCATCTTAGTCCTCAGGGGTGATAACTCATCTGCATTTTGATTCTTAATTGAGGATAAATGTAGATGTCTATGGGCCGCAGCAACCACTTACCATCAGGTGGACTGTGTGCTTGTTTGTCACCCTTATCCTATAAAAAAAATGTATTAATTAATGAAATAAAAATGAGTTTTATTAACTTTTAGGTGTCTGTTAGAAGGAGATGACCTACCAATGGTATTATCAGTCCAGTTATGCCTTCTGTCGCGGGTCATACTTCTCTCTTCTGACTTATTCTATAAGGCGATAGAAGAAGCCGCACATGGTCTCGTCGAATATGACTCTGACCCTGTCAAAGTTCTCAATAGGGTTTTGCATGTTTGGACTGAGAAGATGAACCTAGTGACTCAAGTTGAAAGGTGGAAAGTTGTTGGTGAGTATATACTGTTATATCTTGTATCATATTCCTATCATTACTGATAATATAGATCTGAGAATAAGTTTCTATGTTTGTTTCATTTTTACGCCTACACGTTTTAATTTGAACCAATCTTAAGGATCATTTGCATTAAGACAGTTCGTATCCTGAAGATAAATACAGACTGTTATTAACTTTTTTTTTAATTTTTATGCAGACGAAGTCGTAGGTTATTAAACACATGATCATATACATGTTGTCCAAGTGTTAATGTATAGTAAACTACTACCAAGATACATAACAAAACTTTAGTGTAGGGGGTAACTTGTTATAAGAAATATTTAAAAAATAGCTAGAATTCGATACCTGCCGGCACCAGTGAGATTGTTAATCGCAATCATAAGCGACAATTCACCACATACGCTACAGTGAATTAAATTTATCTGTCTGAGAAATTAAAAAAAAATTGAAGTAATGCAATGTTCGCTACATAGAGCAACACGGGCCACCGGCAGACCGGAGGGGAGTAGCCATAGCGTTTTTTCTCGATACAGTACTCAGTCATTTTTTGCGGGGTGAAATCTACGCACACAAAAACAATCATCTGTCACTACAAAACTCACACATAGCAATTAAAACATTGTATGACAATGAATTTTACATTCTTTTTTGTGAATATTTTTTTTAGGATTAGGTTTAGCCGCACTATTGACGACACAGAACGCGACAGTATTACAGCGATTTCCTGCGATTCTGCTGAATCTAACGGAAGTTTTAAATGATATTATGAAAACCGAAGAGAATGGGACATACGTTGAGTAAGTTTTATCGTGAATATTATTTTTATGATTTAAAGTGTGTTTTGGTCAGAGGATACGTACAGGTATATACATATTAAAATGTATTAAATTACATTTAAAAGAAAGTATAATGATAATTTATTGTTAGTGTATATTTACCGAAGCAACTTTTAAAGATTTCTTCAGAGACCCAAAGTTGAAGTTACGTTTTGTGCAGCCCATATCCTCTATTACTCTGGGTCAATCTTTAGCTCTAATGAAGTCCGGAACGTTCTAGAGCTAGGTTTGAGTTGTTTCTGCTTTGTGACAAAGAACGATTTTGGATATAATTTCCTCATTCTATGTCGAGTGGTGATGGCATATAAAAATCCGTTAGCTATCTCTTACTGTGGATGTCGTAAATCTTTGCTTTTTTATAGGAATAGGATCTGAAATGCTTGAATGATGGCGGTATATCAATCTCGTATAAATTCACGGTGAATGGATAGCAGTGTTAAAGTTGGTGCGAGATGTCTGGTACTGCGAACACACCTAGCGTTATCTATGTCCTGAAATAGACTTTTTTAAAGCTTTTACAATATTATACGTGGTAGAGCCATGTTGCAGCTATATTAATAGTATAGTTGTAGTATGAATGGGTCGGCTCGACCGGGGACGGACAACGCTCTCACAGAATACCAGCGTAAAATAGCAGCTTAACACTGTTGTGTTTCGTATGGTGAGTGTAGAGAACCGGAGACCCTTTTTACTAGAAACTAGGCATTCCATCTTAGTCCTCACGGGTGACAACGCATCTGCATTTTGATTCTTTATTAAAGAAAGATGTAGATGTCTATGGGTCACAGCAATCAATTACCATCAGGTGGACTGTATGCTTGTTTGTCACCCTATCCTATAAAAAAAATTACATATTTTAAAAGACCATGTTTTATCCCCCAAACGTGCCGAATAGTGGTTTATCTTTACTATGAATTTGTTCAGAATATTCTACTGCGCAGGATCTATTGTGTCAGTGGTATGTGGATGTTTTTTTTAAATTAAATAGAAATTAATTAATTAGTGGCTAATGTAGCCCATTTTGCCACAAACAGTTTGCGTTGTCACCTATGAGGACCATGGATATTCTGGATAGAGATACTCTTCATACCCCATTTACACTTTCGCGCGAGCGACGAGGCGAGTCGCGAGGCGAGCCACGAGGCGCGAGTGTAAACGCTAGCTCGTGGCTCGCCTCGCAGCTTGCCTCGCCACTCGCGGCGCTCGCGACGGAGCCGGTTTTTTGGGCACGAGGCAAAGGGCCTCGCGAGGGACGCGAGCGTGGTGTTTACACTCGCGTCTCGTTTCAGTATGTTTACGGCGCCCTTCCATAATAACATTCGAATTGCTTTTGTTTTAAAATTACAATTTTAATAAAATAATATTATTTAATATTGCACAATAGGTACTAGCAATTTATATAAAATTATGAAACTGAAAAGGTTCTGTTTCGATGAATAGATATCATCCGTCATATTCTTCTTCAACCACGTATTTTTATTAATTTCCTTTTTTTTTTAAATGTTCAAACATCGATAAATACTTATTAAGGCAAGAGTTGATGCCGCTATTATTTCGACGTCATTCATCGTTGTTGGCTCAACGCAAACTGACCGCATCGCGAGAGTGTAAACAGGCACTCGTTATCTCGTAACAACACGCGAGCTGCGAGGCAAGGTACGAGGCGAGGCGCGAGGCGAGAGTCTAAACGAGGTGCGAGGCGAGATTCTAAACGAGGTATCAGACTGCGTTTTGGCTGCAGAAATGAGTAAAAGGTTGAGTTAGCCAGACGGCTCCTAGGTAGAAAAGTCACCTAGTAAACATTTCTTTTTTTTGTAAATTACCAGTAGCGCATAAGAAAGCGGGCGTTGTTTTTTTGCAGTGGACTGGTAGCGCCGCCTGGATCGCGGCCGGCGTCTCCGCTGGAAGGTCTTGGCGGCGCCGCGCGCTGGGGCGGCGGGGCAACTGGCGACTCGCCGCACGAGCGTCGTCGTCGCCGTCTCTCCGCACTCAATCCCGCCCACGTGGTGGACCTACGTCTTGTCACGCATCACCAGGTAACTTATGTACTCCTAGTAGAACACAAGCACAACTAGACTTAGAAGGGACTGATATTTTTTGACATTGCACTTTTCCATATACACGCTGTGGTCTGATCACTATAACCATCAGCTACATGTATCTTATTCCCGTACGGTGCTGACAAATGTTCGTTCAGCTATACAACCACGAATGTGGTTGACTTGCGTTTCCGTCACGCATCACCAGGTAACTTATGTACTCCTGGTAGAACGCAAGCACAACTTGGCTTAGAAGGAACCTGATATTTTTTCACACTGCACTTCTCCTTATACACGCTGTCGTCTGTCTGATCACCACAACATCAGCTAGATGTATCTTATTCCCGCATGGTATTCCCGTACGGTGCTGACAAATGTTCGTTCAAGCTGTACAACCACGAATGTGTTTGACTTGCGTTTCCGTCACGCATCACCAGGTAACTTATGTACTTCTGGTAGAACGCAAGCACAACTTGGCTTAGAATGAACCTGATATTTTTTTACACTGCACTTCTTATACACGCTATCGTCTGTCTGATCACCACAACATCAGCTTGATGTATCTTATTCTCGCATGGTATTCCCGTACGGTGCTGACAAATGTTCGTTCAAGCTATACAACCACGAATGTGTTTGACTTGCGTTTCCGTCACGCATCACCAGGTAACTTATGCACTCCTGGTAGATTGTAAGCAAGAACAGGTAACTGAAATTACACACTGTATTTCTCCCCCAGCACGCCGTCCACTGTTTCACACAACATCAGGCACCTTATGCCGCCCATAGACGTTCAAGTAAGTTGATCAAACAAGCTAATTCAAAGAGTTTTATCAAGTTGGCATGAATGTCTGTGGGAAAATTAAATTAAATTTTGAAGAACTGACGCCGCTTCAAGCCTGCATGAAAGTGGTGTAGTCGCTTGAAAGATCATGTCAATTTGATAAAACTGTTTAAACCAATCTGTTTGATCTAATTGCTTGAACATCTATGGCCGACATTATGCTCGCTTGGTAGATTACAACTACAGCCAGGCTTGTAAGTCTAGACTCGCGCGATTACAACACACATGTGGTTGACCTTCATCTCGTCATGAATCACCAGGTAACTTATGTGCTCCTGGTAGATTGTAAGCATGAACAGCCTTGGAAGGGATTCTGAAATTTCACGCTACCTCCCCAAGCACGCTGTTGTCTGGTTACACACCACCATTATCTTATACACGCATGGGATTACACCCACATGCTTATTAGATTATACCCACTTCATGTAAGTTTAGACTGGCGGGATCTGCCGCACGTCTAGAATGAATGTTTTATATACACTGCCAAATATTTTCGTGACACTTTCTTTTTATAGATGTTTTCAGTTTTCGATTGTTAAATTTAATTATGTATACGTGGTAGAGCCATGATACAGTTATATTAATAGTACAGTTGTAGCTCTAATGGTTCGGCCCGACCGGGGAAGGACCACACTCTCACAGAATACCAGCGTAAAATAGCAGAATAACGCTGCTTGTTTCGTATGGTGAGTGTAGAGAACCAGAGACCTTTTTTTACTGGAAACAAGGCATTCCATCTTAGTCCTCACGGCTGACAACGCATCTGCATTCTATTCGCAAACGAGGATATATGTAGATGCCTATAGGCCACAGCAACCACTTACCATCGCGTGGACTTTGTGCTCGTTTTTCACCTTTATCCTAAAAAAATGTAGTGTATTCGCATTCGGATAAACAATTTTATCAAAAAAAAAATATGAGAGAAACATAAGCATGGCCGTCATTTGAATTCAATTTTACTTAGTTATAACTATAACAGTAATTCACCATTATATATATGTATTATATTTTTCGAAAACGGCATATAAAATTAGTTAAGTACTACAAAACACGTTCGCACGAACCGCATGTATTGTATAGCAGACTCAGTGAAGTGTTGATCGGCCCGCCCTCTGCTCCCCAGTGCCCCACCATTGCTCTGCACAAGTACATTCGTTTCCCAACTTTAAGGTCTAAACTGTGCTAATAACACAGTTATGTCTTGGTAACATTTTTATATCAGCGATTATTCCAACTGTAAGCAAAATGTACCATTGTTTTCACAAAGATACATTTTGCTATGCTAGATAGGCTAGAAGATTAGATGACTCCTTGGTAGATAGGAGCCTTATAACCAATTATTTGTTTATTTTGTTTACAGTTAGAAACCTTAAAGAATCAAGTTGGAGCGGAAACGTTCGAGCGCCTCCTGCAATCCACGGAACGCGACACTTTGCAACAAATTAGAGAATATATACCGCTTTGAATATGATAACTAACGCATAGTGGACTATGCGAAAACATTACTTATCAAGGAAACATAGGCCTTATTAAGTTGCTATTTTGTATAGGACAAATGGATTCTATTACTACAGTACTGATGTTGCATGGTTACCCTATGAATCTGTTACTAAGTTCGATTGATCGCTAGTTGTTCCGTAGTTCTTTTAGCTATCGGTAGGGAACCGGATAAAAAATGAAAATAGTAGAAATGACAAAAAATCATCCGTGCTTGATATTAAGAAAATATTCAATAGAATATCTAATGCCTACATTGGATAGTAATTTACTAGATAGAATTCTTTCTATCAAATTAGTAAATTATTACGTCAATTATAAAACTGAAGTCCCAAAGTTCTGTTCCAAGGTATACGCTTACTTGAAGTGCCACTTATAACTATAGTCATATTTGAATAAAATAGTTTTAACGATGCAGATTTTTTATACTTTTTATATTATTAAATGCTGATTCTAAATTCGACTGTATTTTTTTGTTTTTATGTTACGCGATATCTTCGCCGATTTTGACCCGATATTAATGATTTTTTATTAAATAGACTTTGAGAGTGATCCCCATTTAAATTTGAAGCAAAAGTATGGAATGAAAATTTTAATGTAATTCTATATAGACGACGTTCTAGATGTCTTTGAGCTTGTATGATTGCCTTTTATTTTTTTTAAGGTTAATTATTATACAAATTTTTATATTGTCTTGTCTAATCTGGATCAGGAATAGTATCCTTGTACTGTCAGAGTTCCTGGTATAACCAGGCATGCAGATCGAACGTCTGGCTTTCGCATACAGTTTATGCGAAGCAGTCATATTTTGCTTAATATAGACTATTATACAGACGCAGACATTCAAAACGCATCGATAACATATGCGCAGACGTTCAAAACGCATCGATACCACATACGTAGACATTCAAAAAACAAAATTAAGCCCCTTTCACGTATCAAAATAAACTTCAAACTATTATTTAAGCGATAATACAGCAGCAGCAATCCATAAGCGGCCAAGTCCCCGCCAAAATCTCCAGCCCCCTTAAAGTTCCCTATTATATGCTATAAAGGCATGCACCAAATGGCAAGATTTTTTTTTTAATTTGTTCGAACTCGCCAAGCTTATTCATCAAATTGCAATTTAGAGTAAGGAATTCACAGATGGATTTTTGCACCAGTCTATCGCGAACGTCTTCCGTTAGTATGATGTTTTGCGTGAACGTAAGTTTACTTTTGTAAAAATGGCGACAATTAACTTGAATTAGGAAGAGTAAACTATTATTTTTAATTACTTTTTTTTAAAATATTTTTTTGTTTAATTTCTAAGTTCTTGCATAGTCCACGTCCTTGTATTAAGCTTTTAAATATTTTAATCCCATCGTAAACCGAAGTTTATAGTACTTAGTTTTATAAATTAAAATATTAAATTGTAAAACTGAGTACTATTTTTAAACATTTTTGACGAAATCCCAAAAGAATCGTTTATTATAACCATACGCTCACGGCGTGTAATTGTCTGTGAACAATGAGTAAAATGACAATATTGCCACAGCCTAAGAACATACGGTCAGTCATCGCGTTTGATGTTGTCGGAAAAGCCGACATAAATAATAAATTTCTAGGGTTGCCAGAACGGGAAGTAATAAAAAAAGAAGAAGAAGTAAAAACTGATTTTATTTTATCTCACGTTTAAACAAATTAATGTATATGTGGAAACTAATGAAACTAATTCCTTATCTTTAAACACAGTTTTTACCGCACATATAGTGTGAATCATTTTAATTTATTTACGTGACAGGACAACCCTAGTGGACAGTGCTCAGCCTACGTCTCGTTTCGTACCGCACCGCACGATTGTCCCGTCTAGGCGCCTTCGATGACCGACTGTTAGTAGTAGTTAGACTGATGTTGCTAAGCGTGATGACGATCTATGGAGAGCGTGTCGATTGTTAATGAAATTGTACGCAAAATATATTTATACACGATAAAAGTTGCGTTTTGCGTCAGATGGAGTCACTCGTTAAGCCACGTGTAAAGCCTCGGTTTTAGAACGTTGAATGACTTATTTTAGAACAGCCTTCATTGTAAGATGAGGCTAAGACCTTGAAGTTTATTGCCGCTGTACAGAAACACGTAGCTTATAACTCAAAGGTCATACATAAAACCAACTTTAATATCCTATTTATAAAATACGTTTATTTGTACATTTTGTATTGATTTTTTTTTGTCGATACGTTTGTAATTTATTATAATATCGATATATTTTAAATATAGCAAGGCCCCTAAATGCTGACTCATATTTAAAATGTGAGCTGCCTAAATATTCGGCCATGTTTATTTTCTACAATTAGCTGTAGTAAGCAATGTTATTGTTATTTTATCTACGTCTTATTTAGTTCTTGATTTGATAACATTTGAACTAAGTATTCTATTTAAAAAACGATAACTTTACGATATTAAAGAACAGAACAGAAAAAGCATAATAATGAGAATTCGATAATTGAAATTCGATAGTGAAAGGTGTGTTCATGTAGCAGTCGATTGACGTAGCCAGCCTGTAATTGGACATAATAGCATATCCTTTAAATGCCGGCATTCGATTGAATGTCTCCAGCAAGCTTAGCTACATTGTGTACCTAACATTTACCAAAAGAGTTAGCCAATATTTAGGTATCGCATTAATCTCGCAAAGTGTAAATTTTTACAGTATTCGCGATTCAAAATGAGTTTGATGGAAGTTTTATTTCAAAATGTTCTGTAAAATTCAATTATATTTGATAAAAAACAATTAAAATATTTATGTTGTTCAAATTTTACCAAAGTGATATTTGCGTTCGTAATATTACTTACTTCATTTGTTCACTTTTATCTTAAACGTCTATTAGCGCCTCATTGTCACAAATAAGGAAATAATTTCAAATTTCAAATCAATGAAAAATGGCGGTTTTTCATTGTCGTTACCAAAAGGGCTGGCTTATATGTGTAATTGCAATTTGTTTAAAAGGCTAGACATTAAGTTGAATGGAGACCGTCGGGCGCAATATCCACACGGCTGTTACGTTTATGTAAAAATCAACCACGAAATTTTGTAAAAAATAAAGATACCCTCAATTATATATTCACATTGTGAATTAAAGAAAAATAAAAGAAATTAATGCAATAAAAGCGGATATTTTTCTGTTATCAATTTGTCTAAATAACGCTTTTTATATTGTAAATTTGTTAATGTAAGAGATTCCTAGTACCATTGAAATTTTGTAAAGTTGAATGTACATTTTGTAAGTTTAATTTTTGACTTACATTTTCTGTTCGTAAACCTTTTAAATCGATTTTTCTATTTAAAATCGATTTTGCTAATTGTTTGAAAATACGGCAACTATTGTTTAATGAATAATATTGAAAATAATACGAAATATGTATACTTGTGATATTCTCACGATTTCCTTTGTTATAGCTTTAAATATAGGGGATTTCGATTCTATAATAATGTTGTTTGATTTCCATATCTTTCCTATATCTTTCGCTGCATTCGCTACTTGTTTAGCGGAATCTTTGCAAAGAGACAGTTGGTGATTAAAGTAACTAAACTTCTAAACATAACTAAACATAAAAAATTGGGTCATGATATACTGAGCTATGTGTTAAAATTTGCTTTTACATACGGCCTTAGCCATTCCGTGTCCAAACCCTTCGTAAAATACCTATAAACATTAGTTCACTGGTACTAACCCAGTGCAAGAAACTTTTTGTTTTTGGATTTTACTGGATCGATGCTGAAGTGATACGACCCGAAACGACCGCAAGCGGTATCAAAATTCGTAGAAAAACTCAAATTGTTGGTTTTCTAATCTGAATGTGTTGTCATCACTCTCAGCTTCTCAGGTTTAATAGGCATCCAAGACCTTTCTTCATCTTTTCGCCGGGGTATATTTTTAGTTATCGGTTAGGCGTTTCATCGGGCTTGTACGAGTAACTCTACCTGTATGTTAGTTAAAAAACTGGTGGTATATGTAATCACCAGTTTATAAGTTTTATGGGTTACGTAAAACACGAAAATAGACGAGAGAGACTTGAAAATTAGGTTATTGAAGTAACTATCGCTGTCGCTCTGCGAGTGCTTCGCCACCGATAAGAACCGCAGCGTATCCGACTGAATAGCCGAAGTATAAAACGGCATAATTCGATGTTTGGCTCTCTAATATTTCCTCCTACAATATAGGACCAATTTAAAAGATATTTCATAAAATGAATAAGAAGGATATACACTGTGTCCCTATGTTTTTCTTTTTTCAGTATTAGTTATTAAATTTGAACACGGCCTCTGTTGACATCGGTCTAGATAGGCAATTTTTGAAAACTTGAACCCTTTTGTAACGGTTCTAGTGCTTAAAGTATAATCAAAAAGGAAAACATTGGGATACAGAAGAGGTTGATATTTATTTTACTGTAAAAACTCATTGCTAGGCTTCCTATAAGGTCATAAACCAGAAAGAAAACAGACGAGAGCATTTGTATGGAGAAAAGACCACCCGCATTTCCTCTTAAGGGGCTACTCCATGCGAACGACCTTGAGCATTTGGTGTGCCGCGCCGACTCGCTACAATATATCATTTAAGAAATATGTAAGACGCCACCTACTCTGTACGAACGTAGTATTTTTTCAACATCAATAAACTATTTTATGGAAATACACACAGCGTACAAGGATAAATGTATTTTAATTTTTTTATTCGGTATATTAGTTGCATTATATTAGAATTATGTATTCTCATATATTATCTAATTATGAAATTTTATAATTAATTACATATTAAAAATGAAGCATTGAAAATTGTGAGTTTAAAAGATACCTACTCACTATAGAAACAAACAGAAACTTTTTTATTCAATATAGATTATAAATAATACTTATTGAAAGTCACTCTTTTGTTTGATTACCACTGGTTCGGAAAAAACCTCTGTCCTGGGAAGAACCAGCATGAA